TATGGCTGCTGTAGCGCCCCGATTGGGCCGGCAGGAGCACCGCCACAAACAACAGCGCCTATAAACTGGTATATAAACAATATGACAGTTATAAATACACATATATAACTTTTTCTAATTTTCTTCAAAAAATATTTTTAGGAACAGTATATGTATATCATTAATGTAATATTGACAAATTAATTTGATTTTTGATTCAAAATATGGCAATTTAATTCTTCCAATTGATGGATCAACATTTTTTTTATAGTGTGTACTTACTTTCTCAGTTACAGAACTGATAAACTTGTGATTCTTATAATTCTTCCCATGCACTGTGTCGATGTATCGTATATCCTCTTTATTGATACTTTTAATATCTTTTAATACTCTTAACGTGCTTATTTAGTTATTTATACTTAATTATATTTATGTACTACATTATGATTTTGTGATCAAGAGTTTTAGGATTTTTTAACACTTTCATGGCCGCTTACGTATTTTTACGTCTTTACTTCAATATAAATCAGGAGTTGGTTACGTAACTTAACGTTTACTTTACTGTTTATTGCATCATTGTATTAGGTCGTGCAATATAAAATGTCGAATTTTATCAGTTTAATATAATAGAGCGCCTCTCCAAACGTTGAGCAGAGCCGAATATATAACGATTGCGAAACTGCAAAAAATCTTCCTATTGTTGTATCTTCGCATTGTTAACAAATGCGTTTTATTTCTTTTGTCCAAGTGTATTTAAGCATACATTTTAAATCTGTAACAAAATAAAAAGTGTTATTACATTAATAAAAAGTCTAGAACATTTTTTATTTTTTTCTGCATTAATTTAATTGCAAGAATCATATTAAACAATGTAAAAATGAGTGATTGCAAGAATCATATTAAACAATGTAAAAATGAGTGATTCATATAATATGTGTATGTATACCGTCATGTTTCATCATTTTATAACAATTGGATGATAAAATATCAATCGCATTGCTTCTCAAAATTTTTCATTTCTGTATCTTCGTTCTTTCTACTATCTGAACATTTCGTAAACATGAGAATTAATTCTCTGCGAAAATTCGTCCCAGTTGCGCAGTAGAGAACAAAGTTTATTCCATAATTTATTACATATAAAAAAGTGCTGATGGGAAAAATTATGGAAATATACATATTTGATATCTGCAAATATGATTATTAGAGTTATGAATTATTATTAAAAAATTATAAACAATAATACAGTTTTTATATTGATTGGGATTAAAAGAAATTTAGAAATAATAGAAAAAAATTTGAATATAAAAAAAAATTAATTAATATTTTTTCATAGTATGTAGAAAGCGTTTTTAAAGTAAAGAAATTCTGTATTTGATAATTGATTTTTCTTTAATAGTAAATGTTAATACGTACGCCATAGTTGATACAAAGTGTACAGACTTTTATAGGTACATTCAAACATATGAATACGCTTGAAATGATCACAAGCATTTTTGTGACCTTAATGTGTGACGTTTCATTGCCAGTACTTCGAGTCTTGTCATCAGAAACAGCGGAACATAAAATCAAATTTTTTTGGATACGATTTTGCTTGCGAATGATGTAAATTATTAGAGTATTAAACATCACTATTATTGTTACTGGTAAGATCAACGTTATAATAGCATTAACGCTAATAAAAATCCTCCACCAGTTCTTCAAATTTGTTATATTTTTATCAGCATTAAAATCTTTGCTCTTTAATATAAACCATGGGATAGAATATAAAACTGCTAATCCCACCAATCCGATCATCACGGTTTTCGCTCGGTTGACTGTGCACAAGGAGCGACGAAGTAGCGGCCACTTGATCGCTATATATCGTTGAACAGTAAAGGCCACTACAATCCATATACTCAGGAAACAAAATAACCATCGTAAACCAAACAAAAGAATGCGCAACCAATTTTCATAATTTATAATATTCCTCCATTCGAACCATATCATGAATATAGTCATCAACACAGCAATGTCGCTCATCGCAAATGTACCCAAGTAGATGCTAGATGAGTTGTAACGTAGCTTTGTGAAAAAGAGCACATACACGGATAGACTGTTGCCCAGTAGACAAAGACACAAGAAAATCGGTATGTAGTACTGTTCAATGTGGTCAATCACATTTAATGTTAGATTAATTTCGTCGGTCATCTTTGCGTATTGATTGCAAATCGCTTGCAGAAGTTCTTAACGACAAGAAAGCAAAAAGTGTATGAGCGTAGAATGGATGAATACTTGTATCATACACAATAACCTGGGAAAACATTAATAACGGTTTTTTGTTAATATAAGCTGCAGTTTATCAATTCGATTGAAATTGTCAGCGCAAGGTTTTACGGTAGCAATATAAATTTGATATCATTGGAAAATCAATTACAGCTCTATGTGTTGTTATTCATTATTTTATACAATATGCTGCATATTTTTATTTATGCGCACATAAAATATACTAAATAGGCAAACTGATCATGATGTGTTACATGTATTTGTGACATTGGTCTACAATTAAAATATTTTGCTGTAGATAATACGTCACACATATTTGACATGTTAATTTTATAGCAATTAAATAGATTTGTTGTAGAAAAATAATAGTTAAGTAATAATAAAGTAATACATACCTATTTTTTGAAATTGCAATGTAGTAAAAAGATGTATTGCAGTATTACATGTTATAACGACAGATTAATTAAACTTTTCGAACAACTGTCATTATAATTTGAAAATATAACATAATTTCAGATCAAACACATCACTTATACATTGTACTGTTTTCAAGCTTGTCTGCTGGAAAGAACTGGTGATGCGTTTTTACCCAACAAGTCAATTAGATTTTTTACAATGTCATTCTTACTTATATCTTTTATCTAATTATAAGTATCGTTAATTACGCATACGTTTTTAATTAAAAACAATTTTAATCAATTTTGTTTTGATGGCGTAATATATATGATTTTTCAAGGAAAAAAAAACAACAAATTTTATAATTTGTTTTTGTTAAAAACTATTTTCTATTGTAATACACAAACAAAATAATATAAAAGTGGAAAAGAATGAAATTATAAACTATAAATTATAAATTAGTGATTTATGT